TGTGGCGGGTGACCGGCTTGGGCTGTTTCCCAGGGCGGGATGCTCGGGGGGTCGTCAAGGACATCTGCGGTGGCCGCGTGGGGCGTGCCCCGGTTTGGCATGGGCTGCTGCTCCTGTTGGAGATGTGGGTGGGTAGAGCCTTGCTGTGCAGGAGGTGGTTCTGTCGTCCCCATGTTTGGCTGTGGCCTGGGCTGCGGCTGCGGCAGGTCTTCCGTGGCATTGTCATACCAGGCGGAGTAGGGCTGTGTGGCGCGTGGCGTTGGCTCCTGTGGTGGTCGGCTGCGTCCCTCAGGCGGGGGTTCTCGACTCGGAGGGTTCGACTTGTGGGGGTCAGCTGGCGGCATCGCGTCCCCCGCGCCACCATTGCGGGGGGAGCTGTAGGGGGTATTCCAGGGGTCGTCGTCCGGGTCATACGGCCGTGCGTAACCACGAGGGAGGCATGGGGCGCACGGTTTGCAGAACGAAGGTACCGTGTGTGCTTGCTGTGTCTGTGACATCACGGGGACCTGTGGCTGTGCTTGTCCTGTAGGTCTTGTAGGCTGTAGTGGCTGTGTGGAGTGGAGTGCTGCTGTCTGTGAAGGTGTCAACTGCTGCGGCGGGGCCCGGTTCGGGCCGTACGAGGTTTGTTGCGGTGGTGGCTGGGCCGATTGCTGCTGGGTGTACTGGAGTTGGTAGGCCGGAGGCGGAAAGTATATTCCCCCAGGTTGGGTGCCAGTGTGCGGGAATTGCTGAGCCTGCGGAGCCAAGGCGTACCCGCCCCAGGCCGTGTATGGTGTTCCCTGGGCTGTGACGTGTGTGGACTGCCAGGTAAGCTGAGTAGGAGGTGGCATTCCTGGGTCACGCATCCACGGCGGTTGCCAGTGCGCTTGTGGTATGGTGGGTCCCCCCTGTGGTGGGAGCGGTTGTGGCTGCTGCTGGTATGCAGTGTTGGGGACCGCTGGGGGTGCTGTATGTGCTGCCGCGGCTTGTGGTGTGTTTGGTCGTGCTGTGGGCCCGGCTGCCGTGTGCGCTGTGCGGTCTGCTGGTGTGTCAGGTCCCCCGGGCGGGTGCATCCCCCAACTTGCAGAGAGCATCATGGGCAGTACCCGTAACATCCGAAGCAACATCATCGCGTTGCCTCCCTGAGAGGTGCTCCGACCGTGGGAGCTGTTGAAGTGACTGTCACTGAACTTCAAGTACTTGGCTTAAAAGTTTCTGAACAAAAACAAGCAAAGCGTCATGTAGGGCAGCATGTTAGCGAGGATCATGAAGGCGGGCATGAGCATGTAGGGGTTCGAGCCGAAGGTGCGGAGCGCGNNCCACGTCTTTCACGAACTGCTTGGTTGCATGTGCTGATCTGACATGAAGAACGGTGGAGGGCATGTAGACAGGCATGTGTTGAGAAAGCTCCCCATGTCGGCAATCAGCAAGCAAATCTGTCAGGCGCATGCAAACCACATGTGGGCGGCTTCGGTGACGTACTTGGCTGGTCTGCTGTCGTAGCTTTTTCCCCCCTCCCGAGGCTGGAGAGTCGTGCGAGCTAGTGCCCCGCATGGATCTCATGCGGGCGGTGTGAGAGCTCGTTCCCCCGGCCGTAGAATCGTCCACAGTGAGTCCGCGTGGGCCATTGGAAAGGTGAGTCCAGGTCCCCCGCGTCATTCTGCTGCTACGGGCGGTTCTATCTCGTCGACGGAACTGCCATCATGTGCGGGAGTGGCTCTTGAGTGCGGCGTCAGGTTCTCGATGCTCGTCTGTTTTCCCGTAGCCCAGGGCACATCGTACTTCTCAACCCATTGCTTCGACAGGTAGGCCCACTGTTCCCTGTTCATCGCGACAAGGTGCCAGTTCTCCCCCGCAACGGAGGTGACTTGGCGGTCAATGTCCATGAAGGCATTGAAACGACTCGCATGTGTGACATTTCCGTGCGGCGGCCTGTGAGCATTCCACCAGGCTAGACATCGCCAGCGAAGGATTTTTCCCCCGACAGGGTCGCCGCGACACATATGTCCAAGAAGTCCCCAGATCTGCTGGAGGATAAAGGTGGACCAACGGCTTGCCGCGGGGTGTTGTTTCGTGACCCCGTGCTTGAAGAGCAGGAGGCGGGTACGTCGCAGAGTCCTTTGGTTCCATGACACCCAGGACTCCGTTCCCCCTCTTCGTAATCCTGCCATATCCCGTATATGGAGCAGTTGCATCGAGTTTGCTTGCTTGAGAATTTGCATGTTATACGGCCAAGTTTCGCAGCCCCATAAGGCTGATTGGCGTACCAACATCGTATGCAAAATCATCTTTTTCGCCAAGGGGGCCTTTGCCATGAGCTCCCCCTTGTGCGACCAGAAGGCTCGCCTCCCCCTCGATTGCATGGCAGCGACGACCAGGGAGGGCGTCGTGTGGAAGGCCACAGGGCTCCCCAGAACCGTGATGACATGCTCCCGGTTTTTGGTCGGGACCGCTTTGCCTCCGATATGGAAGGTGGCGGGGGTCCGGTTGCTGATGATGTCGATCTTCCCCGGGTGGAGGACGAGACCTTTTTTGGGGAGCTTGTTCCCCAGCAGATCCAGCATCTTCTGCAAGTGTGTAGCTGA